GGGAGAGGGCCCTGCCTGGAAATGAGGGGCTCAGGGCCGAGGCAGGTCCACAGGCGGATTTTTATAGGGAGACCTGTACTGGGCTTGCCCATGATAGAGTCCACGTGTAGAGTCATCGTCAGGTTGGTGCTGTGACCAGAAGCTCTCAGAGGAGCTGGACACTCTTGTCAAGATGCGACGTGGCCTCTGTGGCACTCTGCGGTCCCAACCGCCCACTGGTCCACAGGGTCACGCAGGGGTCAAGTTCCAGGAGTGGGGTCTGTGCCCCGCTTGGCCACTTCTGAGCTGGGTGGCCCTGGGCAGTTCCCTCAGCCACCGAGCCTTGGTTTTCCCATCTAGAAAGTGGAGTGTCCTGCTACCTCCCTCAGAGGGCCTGTCTTGGATTGAATTGTGTCCCCTGCAAAAGATATGTCTACGTGCTCACTCCTATGACCTGGGAATGTGACCTTATTTGGCAAGAGAGCCTTTGCAGATATAATTAAGGGTCTTGAGATGAGATCATTCTGGATTAAGGTGGGCCTGAATCCAATGACAGGTACTATTATAAGACAAAAGAGAGAGATTTGAGGCACAGACACACAGAAGACCACAGGAGATGGAGGCAGAGATGGGAGTGATGCAGCCATGAGCCAAGGAACGCCTGGAGCCCCCAGAAGTTGAGAGAGGCCTGAAACAGATCCTCCCTCAGAGCCTCCAGGAGGAGCCAACCTACTTGCACCTTGATTTTGGACTTCCACCTCTTGAACTGTGAGACAGTAAATTGCTGTTGTTTTAAGCCACCCATTCTGTGGTAGTGTGTTCTGGTAGCCCCAGGACACTTATGACAGGGTCGGCTTGATGCGTAAATGTGCTGAGACTTCAGAAGGGCTCTATGCCCCACAGCGGGGGCTCAGGGACACCTGGGGTGCCATCTGTACACTCGGGGCGGGGAGACTGAGCATAGGATGGCTGATGTCTGCGCTGTGCTTCCCGGTCATCCTTCGTGGCCCTGTTGTCCTCAGCCCTGAGATGCCTCTGATCCCCGGGGTCTGGCACTGCTCGGCCCATTGGTTCAAACCTTAGGGCAAGAAAATTTGAGAGGCACGGATGGGACTGTTGATGTGGAAAGATCCAGGGCTGCAGCAGGCAGGTGGGAGGCGAGGCCAGACACATAGCAGCACTTGCCAGGGGTCCAGCATGGCTATATGCAGTCCTGGCACTGGACACAGCATGACCAGCAGACCGTGAGTTTCGGGTGCCCACTGTCTGTGGGTATGGGATGGGGATGGTGGCCAGGGTCACGAGCAAAGGCATTTCAGACACAGCGAAGATGGTTAGAGAAGCCAAGAGGCAAGTAAATAGGCTCAGTCGGTGGAGCTGCACCGCAGTCGTTTTCTTAGCGTTGGCCCAGTGAGGTCAGAGGGTAGCTGGGTAAGGGATATTCAGGGACTCTGTAGTATCTTTGCTGTTTTTCTGTAAATCTGCAACTTTCACAATGAAAACTTTATTAAAAGCAACAACAACAAAGCCAGAGGCTGGTAGCGACTTGGGGGGCTGTACCTTGGGCAGGGTGTCAGGGAGGCCCCTCTGGGATGGGTGTCGAGGGGGGACTGTCATAGGCTGAGGCCCTAGGGGGCCACAAATGGGGTGCTTTGGGGCCAAGCGGCCAGAGGGAACAAAGAGTGGGGAGAGTGGAGGGCAGGGAGGCCACAGCAAAAGCGTGGTAATGGGGCGCCTGCCCACCCTCAGCTCAGGCCCTCTGAATCTAATGTGGGGTCCACTCTCAGAGTCAGGGAGCCCTTCTCAGACCTGGAGCTGTCTGACCCACAGGCCACAAGCAAGGAGGAGTCCAGGGAGCTGAAGCTCTCCCTTTCCAGCGGGTGGTCTCCAGCATGCAACAGCCTTGTCCAGGCCTCACTTCCCTGCCTGCCCCGCCATGGCCAGTAGCCATGAGGACAGGGCAGGGGGAGGGGAGGCCTCTGAGCCCTGTGTCAGCCCCAAGCCTCCATACGGGCATCGGGAGCTGTGTTGGCATCCTGAAAGGTCCTTGCGTGGCCTCCAGACGGGCCTCTCATCTGGCTTGTGAAAGTCAGCCCCTGAGTATGGGAATGGTGGTGTTCGTTTATTCACTTACTCACGTGTTCGTAGGTTTGTTCCACCAGTGGGTTCTGCTGAGTGACAGGCCCTGGCTTGGATGCTGGGTTCATGGAGCTCTGTTGGCGGGGTCAAGGGGAAGTGCTGTTGAGTGGTCACGGAGTGAGGGCCACTGGGCAGAGAGATGCCTGAGGGACCATGGCTTGGCAGTGGGAAGAGGCATGAGCTTCAGTGACCAGCGGCTTGTCAGACCCTGTCCATGGTGTCACTCTGCTATCCTCCCTCTGAGGCAGCAGGTCCATGGGTGGAGCCTCAGTCTGGCAATTCCTCACCCCTGGACCCTGCTCCTGGGGGTTCCCAGCCAGGCCTGAGAGAGCATTCAGCTCTGGCAAAGTTAGGGGGTCCCCAGGACCACCCTCATGTCTGACACCAACTGCAGAATTGGAGTGTTCCAAAGACCACACTCAGGTCAACAGTCATTAGAAGCTCTCAGAACTTACTGAAAACCATTCTACACACACTTAGAGTTTATTACAGCGAGAGGACACAAATTGCAATCGGCAAAGGGACGGGGTGCGTGGGGTGGCGTCCAGGAGAGTCCAATGCACGGAACTTCTGGTTGTCCCCTCGCCATGGAGTTGTGGGAACAGCACTTCTCCCAGCACCAATGTGTGACAACACGCATGGTGTACTGCCATCCAGGGAGGCTCCTTGAGCCTCAGTGTCCAGAGTTTTTATTGGGGCTCATATGTGCAGACCCAGCTGACTACCCACGTGGCTGACCTCCATCTCCAGCCCCTGCGGAGGGGAGCTGATACCACATGGCCCAAGACCCCCACCCTAAATCACACTGTTGACGCAGACCACCCACTGTGGCCCCAGGCCAGCAAAGACACTCTTAGCAGCAAGGACCTTCTGAGGGCTTCCCCTTCCCGGGAGCTGGGGGCAAAGGCCAGACCTCTGTGGGCCAGGTTAACTCCTTCCTGCGCAGCCCCACTTGCAACCAAGGATGCACACGGGGCCCCCCAAAGGAAGAACAGGGCCCCCACATGCATGCATTCCAGACCCAGAGGCCATGCCCCTGCAGTCTGACAGTTCCATAGCAAAGTGGGCGGGGGGTGGGGGGCCATCGGGGAGAGAGGTTTGGACAGAGGTGGGCCCAGGTGGGCCAGTGTTGCAGCAGCATGCAGGCTGTGAGCGTCCTGTCAGTCCCCGATCCTGTAGCTCATCCTCAGCACTGGGCTCCGTCTGGCCCGGGACCGGGCAGCTTTGTGGAGTGTTTGCCTTTGACGTGGGGGTTCCAGAGCTGGTGGGTCAGCCTGTGATGAAAGTGCATGTGGTGTGAGTACTTCCTGTATCACACGCCAGGTATTTGCATGCACACTCGCCTGGACAGCTCACTTGGGGGAGGGGAAACTGAGGCCCAGAAGAGGGCCATGGCCCTCCAGGGCCACATGGTTCTTGAGAGGCAGACACAGTGCAGGCTCCTGCCACACAGCTCAGACGCAAGGAGGGCATGGGGGGTGGTTTCAGCTTGGAGGTGACCTCTGCCCACCACACTGGGCTTCCCTGTCCCTCTGGCCAGGATCTGGCCTGTTTTATCCCTCATGACTGTGGGGAGGGACACAGTGGGGTGTTCACGGGGAGTGTCTCCAGCCGTCAGAGACAGACCCTGGGCCTGGCCCTGCAGGCGCCTGAGAACCAACCGCAAAGGAGCAAGAAAGGTCAGTCTCCTCGGCTCCACCGCGGCTCGAGGAAACAGCTGTTTACCTAGGTGAGGTGCTCGGCTGGGCGGGTGGCCAGTTCCTGAGCTTCGCTTCCCCCTCCGGTGTCCGAGGCCCCCCAGGAAGCTGGGGCCGGTGTGGGAGAGCAGGGCGGTGCGGGCGGCCAGCTCACGGAGCACTGCCAGGAGCTGTTTGCGAGGGAACATGAACTGGCCTTGTTGTGTATACACCGTCGACCCTAGCAACCGCCCAGCTGGCCCGAGTGGACGCCCACCCTCCCCACGTGCCCAGCCGCTGCCCTCGGTCACGGAGCCTGTCTCCTATGGCAGTGTGACAGGCATTGTGGATCTGTGGCCCCAAGGGCCGTTGGTGGTGCTGACCAGGTCAGGGGCATCTGCCGTTGATCCTGGGCAAGTGGAATTGGCTGCTCGAGGGAGAAGAGGCCGGGTCCCAGCCCCGTTCTGAGGCAGCCGGGGCCGGTAAGGGAGCCCCAGGCTCCTAGTTCTGAGGCCGGCCCACGCGACAAATCCCCATGCAAGTGCCAGGCGGAGGGCTGTGCAGGGTTGCAGCGAGCCAGGATAAAGGCCCTCCACTGGGCCCGGCCCCTGTGAGGCGGCAGGACAGGGAGGGGACTTGGGCAGGTACCCCATAGAGCTCAGACGGGCTCTGGCAGCCCCGCTTGCCCTGTGTGCTGCCGCAGGGACTGCACATCCTGCCCCTGGAAAGCCAGCACTGTGCTTCTGAGACGGCCGCTCTGATTCAGGCCATTGGAAAGACGATTTCTCCTGTGTCTGGGAGTCAATTTGCAGCCTCTGGCCTCTGCCCCAGGAACGTAGACTTTGGCAGTGATAAGAAATGGCTCCCCCGGGGGGGTGAGGGGCCGCCTCCTCAGGCTGCAGGCTCCAGGTACATGGATACTCTCACTCATTCACAAACCGGCCGAGCCCGCCAGCAAGCCTCCCCCAAGTTAATGGAGTTCTGGGGAGGGCTGGCCAGGGCACCTTGGGTTTCTGGTTCTGCCATTTATGGTAGAGAGGCACCTGGCTCCTTTAAGAATCTGAGTGACGAGGTCCCCACCCTCTGTGACTGGTGCCACTGACCCCATCGCTGGGGTTCTTTCGGGGCCCTTGGGGGTGGTACTCTGTGGGGTGTGCTCGAGAGGGCCCCCCGGCCCCACTGCAGCTGCTGGCTTCTGTCTTGCAGCTCCAGCTCCAGAAATCTCAGTACCTGCAGCTGGGCCCGAGCCGTGGCCAGTACTACGGCGGGTCCCTGCCCAACGTGAACCAGATTGGGAGCGGCACCGTGGATCTGCCCTTCCAGGTGAGCCCCCATCCAAACGCACTGCCTCCCACCTGGGGCGCATTGCACTCCAGGCCCTGCCCTGGCCACAGCCCAAGCATGTGTGCATGATGGCCACTGCGGACAGCTAGGGTCACTGCCCTGCCCCCCCGCCTACTCCTCTCCTGCCCCGGTGCTCTCCTGGATCCCCTTGGCCCGGCCCCTGTCAGCAGACCCTGAAGTGAGGCCGTGGTCTGGCCTTGAGCGTTTCGGCAGCCACTACACCTGTTGGCCGGCTGTGCGGCAGCGGGAACCGCTCGGGGCCTCTGGGGCTTGGCTCTGTCCCGCCTCACTAATCCGCAAGCCCAGCAATTCTCAGAAGGAGGCCCCGTGGCCTGACCCCACTTGTCTGCAAACGTTTCTTGGCAGAGACCCACACAGCGTGGCTCCCGCAGGCCACAGGGCCGCTGTGCACATCCTTATCATAAATAATGTGAGATAAGGCCCACCGCCCAGGCGTAGGGCCGGCCTCTTCCCCCAGGCCATGCCCTGGCCCTGGTCTGCAGGTGGAAGCTGGGGTGAGGTGAGCCCACCCCCGGCACGATGTCTGGGCTCTGCCGGGACAGGTCCATTGCTGGGACAGGGCCCTGGAAACAGCCGTGTCTGTCCACGTGCTGACAGGCCAGGCGGAGCTGGGCGGGTCCCTGGGGAGCTCAGTCCCCCAGCTGCCCACCTGAGTCGCTCCCCAGCTCCTACTCCTCCCATGCTGCCCCAGGACACAGCAGGGCACTGCCCAGGGTCCCCCAGGCTGGCTTGGGGTCCTCCCGGCCCCCAAGGGGATGCCTCCTCTGCATTCCCTGGGCCCCAGGGCGAGCCCCTCCTCATCAGAGCAGATGTGTGGGCTGCTGCCCGGACCCCGTCTGCCCAGAGCCTGGCCTCTTGGTCAAGGCCCCCTCGTTTCGCTTCTCTCCCTCCTCCCCATCTCTCCTCTCTGTTTCCTGTGTCTCCTCCTCCCTTGAGGAGAACATCTTTCTGGGCAGCCCCCAGGTTGGCCCTGCCTGGGGTCGGTGTAGAGCCCCCTCGGGCTGAGGGTGCACGGGGGGCTGGGCGAGGCAGGAATGTCTCAAAGTCTCGATTCTTTGCATTTTCAGCCCAGCGGATTTCTGGGGGAGGCCCTGGCAGCGGCTCCTGTCTCTCTGGTAAATGAGCCCCTGGGCTGAGGCCACCCAGCCCCTGAGCCGTGTCCCCAGCGTGGGTGCTGGGTGTTCCTGTGTGGCCACCCCCCTAGCCCCCATGGCCCAGTGGGTGGTGTCCCGTCCACCAAACGGAAACAGATCTGCTCTGCACCCCCATCTGGGGCCGTGCTTGTGGTCGCGTTGAGACCTCCACCTGGGGATCCGAGCATGCACATCAATGCTGCACGGTTCATTCCTGTGACACACACATACATGCGTGTGCGTGGATCCTAGACGTGGCCTGGTGAGCCCGGCTGTGGCCGGGCCCGAGCTTTTCTCTGCCTCTGGCTCTGCTTCAGCCACCTCAGTTTCCCCTCTGGCCTTCCAAGAATCTCTGGGAGGAGATGAACAGCCCCTGCCCTCCGGTGTCCGTGCCCGGATGGCAAGGTCCCCACCCTCCCTCAGTCATGGCTGTCTCCCAGCCCCGCAGCCTTTGGGAGGCAAAGGTGCAGAAAGACCCAAGCTGGAGGGTCCTTACCAGGTCAGAGAGAGACGGGGGTCCCCGGACCAGGAAGAGCAGTCACCCTGATGCTGGCCGGGGTGTTTGGACGGGTGGGGAGGAACAGTGACTCCAGCCAGTGGCAGTCTTCCAGAAGGAAATTGCTTTTTGCCCAGCTGCCCAGAGAAGACATTAGGGCCCAAGGACCAGATGGCCGGGTGGGGGAACTGGCTGTGTCCAGAGCTGGCTAAGGCCGCCTGTCTTGTCCTCTAGTCAGATGGCTAGAGGCCCCACGGTGCCAGGGCAGGCAGAGAGCAGGCTCCTGGGGGCCCTAGGGGCATGGAGCCAGGAGGGAGAGCAGGGCCTGGCCAGGGGCCTCGTGCCAGCCCCAGGTGCTGGAAGGAAGCCCCATCCGGCCAAGCTGTGGGCGAGGGCTCCGGAAGGCGCCTGCGCTTGGCTCCCGGTGGTGCCTCATGCGATGTCTGGATGAGGTCTGGGGAGGGTGCATGGGGGTTGAGTCTCCATCAAGCCCACCCGGGCTGAAGGAGGAGCCTCCAGGGAGCCAGCACTTGGCCAGGTGGGCCCCTCGACATCCTCGGCTGGAAGCCCCAGGGCTGTCTCTTGGCAAGCCCCTCCAGGGATGACGTAGGTGGGGAGAGGAGGCTGGCCAGGCCCGGAGAGAGAAGGCAGAGGCCTATCTGCACCTGGAGAGGCTGGAGGGGCGCTCAGGCCGTCTGCAACCCTGGCACCCCAGCCGACACTGGGCCCCGAGCTTGCGCCGCTCTGCCTGGCCCGTGCATGCCAGCTGTACTGCACGCCTGCCGCCCTGGTGCCCAGGACTCCTGGCTCGCCCCCACCCCTGCAGTGCTCAGAGGCCGGGGGGCTGAGGCTGCAGGAGGAAGCCCGTCCGAGCTGTGGAGTGGTGGCTGAAGGTGTCATGGGAGCGGGGACCCTGAGGTCAGGTCTTCAGGGCAGAGCTGGGGTCAGATCTCAGGCCACAGCTGATAACGGTGTTTTGGGTTTCTCTTTTTTCCCATTCCCTCCACCCCTCCCTCCCCTTCCCGGCCCCCTCCCCTCCCCAGACACCCTTCCAGTCCTCGGGCCTGGACACCAGCCGGACCACCCGGCACCACGGGCTGGTAGACAGAGTGTACCGGGAGCGCAGCCGGCTCGGCTCCCCACACCGCCGGCCCCTGTCAGTAGACAAACATGGACGGCAGATATCCTTCTCCTAAAGGATGTGCATGGGTGAGGGGTCCGGGCCCTATTGGCGACTGCCAAACCCAGAATTTGTCTAGCTGATGGAGCCACCCACTGCTGGCTCTGGCGATGGAATCAAGGCTGCCCCAGCCTTCAGGGCCCCCCGGGAGGACTTCTTGGAGGAGGTGTTGTGGCTCCTTGAAGACCCTTTCGCCAGGCTTGTGGGGTAGGTGGGGGCACAGGAAACAAGGACGCAGAGGTGGCTGCGGGAGCACACAGCCTGAGGTGGGAGTTGGGGAAGGTGAGGCCAGACCACATTGCACTTGGTTGCCCAGCTGGGCAGTGGCCCAGGAAGGCTGTGAGCAGAGCACCCGTGTGTCCAGGCTGAGTTGATGGACAGCATGGAGGGCAGCCCAGCCAAGGTAGTGGGGCCGAGGGGGTCTGAGCCAGACCTAGACAGATCCAAGGGAGACTTGATCTCTGCAGGCTGCAGAATTCACCTCCCCACCTCAGCCAAGCAGAGAGATCCATGGAGTCCCACCCCTACCCCCAACTTGGCCAGCCAGGCCCCTCCCATCGCCAGAGTCTGACCCGCCACTGCTGGGACCCGCCGGCTCTCTTGAACAGAGAAGCCTGTTCTTTCCCCATTCTCATTTCCGTGGCTGGGGGAGCCCAACCAGCTGCGCCCCAGACTGAGCCCTTGGACCCCGGGAGCCGTCCCCTTGGCCCACAGTTAAGAGTCAAGATGGGTTAGCTGAATTAGACTCCCCACTGCCCCGCAGGCCTGGTTTCGCAGCCGAGGCCCCTCTTGGAATGGGTGCACTGCACCCATGTGCTCACAGTGGGTGAGTGCTGAGTGCTAGGTGGACAGGGCCACACCCTGGGGGCTGCTTGCAGCCAGGCAGGAAAGGCCCCCGCCCCACGACCCCAGCCGGCTCCCAGCAGCCTGGCTGTGCAGGCTGGCCGGCCGGGGGTTCCTGGGACTCGGGGCCGGGCCTAAGCTGACAGTGCTGTCCCCTTAACTCATGCTCACGCAGACAGCTGCCCGTACGGCACCGTGTACCTCTCGCCGCCCGCAGACACCAGCTGGAGAAGGTCAGTGACCCAGAAGACCCACAGCCTTCTCATTGAAAACAAAACCAAACTTTCTTTGTGGTCGTGCTCGGAAAACCAATAATACACAGTCGCTTACAAGTGACAAACTAAGAAGCATCCAGAAGTTTCTAGAAACCAGGTTTATCCCTATAACAATGAGGTCACAGCTTTGGGGTCTTCCGGAGTTTTTGTTTGCTTTCTGTGTGTGTGTGTGTGTGTATATTTTTAAACATAGTTGGGATTGTGTTGGATATTCAGTGTTGGAGCTTGCTTTTTTTCATTTAATATTATGTTGTGAGTGGTTTCCCACATTCCTAAGCAGCCATTGAAAGTGCGATTATAAAAGTATTATATATTTATTACTAGAAGATGAGGAAAATACGTAAAGGTATCTGAAAGAAAGAAAAACACACCCCTAATGCCATCATCTAGAAAGGTCTAAAATAACAATAATACAGTTAATGTAAATACCTATAGTAGCATAGGTGGTGGTTGCACACCAACGTGAATGTAATAACGCCACAGAGGTATACACTCAAAAATGGTTAAAATGGTAAATTTTATGTTACATATATTTACCACACACACACCAAATATATACGTAGGTGATTTCAGTAGACAAAGACCAAAAGCAAGCAAGTTGTTTAAGAAAATATATACACACACATGTATATTCATAATATGTGATATAATATTAACAGTTAAATACCTGTCAAGCACATTTCATATATTAGGCCCTGTATCAACCATCATGTACATTAATTGATATAAGATGCACAGAACTTTGTGAAGTAAGAGGTGTTATCCTCCCCATTTTAGACATAAGGAAATTGAGCACAGAAAAGTCAGAACACTTGCTTAGGGATACACAGCTGGTGGGGGAGGCCAGGACCCTGACTGGCTCCTCACTGCTTGGCCAGCCCTTGGGTCAGACTCAGCTGGCCCAGTCCTTTGTAACTGCTCTTTTCTCTTTGAACTGTTCCCTCCATTTCACTCTTAGTGGCTGGGAGGTCCACACTGCGTCCTTGTGGCTCTTGTTGCCATCCCTGAATTGCCAGTTGTGCAGCTGGACCTGCCCTTTGCGTGTCTGCCCAGATCCCCTGGGCAGCTGAGGGGCTGTTGTGGGGACCCTCCCTCCAGGCACCTGCAGCTGGGTCAGATTCGGTCACCCTGTCTCCAGGGCAGAGGGCGGAGCTCCTGGCAGCATTTGGGCTGGTGAGCAAGACCTTCCCTAGCCATTCCCCCATAGGGGCCCCTCAGGAGGCTGCATTCCTTCTGGGGCCTTCTCCGAGCCTCATGTCACTGCCTCCTTTTCCCTCCCGTCACACCTGGTTTGTAACTGAGCATCCTTGAGGGTGGCATTGCCCGTTGGTGTTTGTCATCAGAAGGGGACCAGTGATCACAGTCTCTGGGCTCGTAACCCCAGGCTAGGCCACTGTGGGACTGTTGGGCCCCTCTCCAGATGGTTTCAGGAGAAAGGCACCATCCTTTACTTAATGCTGAGAAGCCCACGGAAGGGCTGGGCTGGGCAAGGGCTGGTTAGGAATGGGGGACGTCTCTGCTGAAGCTTCCTGTTCTCAAAGGCTTTGCAGACAAAAACGACAGTCACTCCTGTGGTTTTTTGAGAACACTGTCTTTAGGGTTTTGCTTATGTGCCACAGCTCACGAAAGTGACTCACTACTGCCACCCTGTCCCACTGGGTAGAGTGGGGCCAGGACTATCCCTTTGTCCCCTTTGGGGCCCAGGCTCACTCTCTCTCCTCTTCACCAGGACCAATTCTGACTCTGCCCTGCACCAGAGCACAATGACGCCCACCCAGCCAGAGCCCTTTACAGGCGGGTCCCAGGATGCACACCAGAAAAGAGGTATTGGCAGGGCACGTGGGCGTCTTTCCTCGGGTCAGACAAGTCCAGCAGGTGGCCCGTGTGTTCCCAGAGGAGGTTGCAAGCTCCTGGGTGGACAGACCTGCAGAGAAAGACTCAGTGGGTGCTGTGGGACAAGGGGAGGGGCTCAGGGAAACTTTCAGTGATGGCGCTACTTGCGTTGGTGGCTAGTGGCACCCCGCATTTGCAAAACACCCCCGGGGCAGCAGCAGTGGTGGCCTAGCCCACACAACTGCGAGCAGACAGGGCAGGAGCCCCCAGCCCCCAGTAGCAGCACTGCTGACACCAGCTCCACCATCAGTGGGGCTGCATACAAGTCCCCAGGCCCCCATCAGTGACAGCAACACCATGAACCCAGCACCCGTGGCAGTTGTGCAACCAGCACCCCCAGACAGCTGGGGAACAGCAGCACCCAAGCCTACGGAGAGCCAGTGGAGGAACATGAGATCCAGCTGACCAGAACCAAAGTAACCAAAACCACACCCAAGTAAGAGAAGGTGGTTACTACCACAAATGCACCAGCAGAGGATCAGCTCATCAAACACCATGAAGAACTACAGTAACACTGCAGAGCAGAAGGAAAATGACAACTTTCCAGAAACCAAACCTGAGGTCACAGAAGACTACAGTCTGACAGAGAATTCAGAGTAGTTGTCATTAAGAAACTCAGTGAGTTACAACAAAACTCAGTTCGGTGAGCTCAGGAATAAAATTAGTGAACAGAAGGAATACTTCACCAAAGAGATTGAAGCTCTAAAAAAAAACCAAACTGAAATTCTGGAGATGAAGAACACAATTAATGAGGTAAAAAATAATGTAGAAAGCGTAAAAAATAGAGTAGACCTTATGGAGGAGAGAATCACTGACCTCGAAGATATAAACCTGGAAATGATGCAAGTGGAGGAGGAGAGAGAACTAAGATTTAAAAAAAAAAAAAAAAAAAAAGTTTCTCCGAGAAATATCCGACTCAATTAGGAAAAGTAACATAAGGATTATAGGTCTTTCAGAGGAAGAAGAGAGGGAGAGAGGAGCAGAGAGCTTGCATAAAGAAAGAATAGCTGAGAACTTCCCAAACCTGGGGAAGGAACTGGCCTTACAAGTACATGAAGCCAATAGAACTCCTAATAACATCAATGCAAAATGACCTTCTTCAAGGCATATCATAGTAAAACTGGCAAAAGTCAAGAAACAAGGGCAGCAAGACAGAAGAAAATAACCTACAAAGGAACCCCCATCAGGCTTTCAGCAGATTTCTCAGCAGAAACCTTACAGGCTAGGAGAGATTGGAATGATATATTCAAAATACCGAATGACAAAAACTATCAGCCAAGAATACTCTATCCAGCGAAATTATCCTTCAGAGATGGCGCTACTTGAGTTGGGTTTTGAGGAGTGCATAGGAGTTTTCTAGGCAGAGAAAACAGCCCCTGCAAACTCACATTGGCTTCTCTTCATGGATTCAGGGCACGGCCATGCAGTCTGGGAGCCTTGCAGATTCTTTCATATGTCAGGGGCAGCAAGCCCAAGCAAAAGGGGCATTTATCAGCTCATGGCCAACAGTCCAGGGCTAGATGTTCAGCTTCAGTTACCGCTTGATCCAGGGCTTCACACTGGACTGCTTCCTGGCTCTACTGCTCAGAACCCTCCTGGCCCACAGCCCCTGGACCCGTCCTGGCTATGTTGGGTAGGAAAGAGGCTGGCTGTTCCCTAAATCTTACCCAGAGCCTCCCCTCCAACTGGGCCATGCGTACATCCCTGCAGCTGGGGCACATCTGTGCCCAGGCCCCTGGTCTTTCCTTGGAGCCAGGCGTGGAGACAGAGTCCACAGGACCTTTCAGTAGGGTATATGCCATCTTAAAAACTGGGGCAGTGTCACCCCGAGAGAAGAGTACAGTGTTATGAGGCCAGCCTCAGAAAACCCCACACGGACCTGATTTGCCCTGAGACACTGAAACCAGAGGATTAGTCATATACACTGACCCAGATGCTTACTGCTCTTTTGATAGCATTTCACTCTGTGAGTATCTAAACATACCAGGGAGATTCTGCTGATAGAAGAAGGATTGTCAACCAGAACTTCACCCCTTGGGGCGCAGGGGCTGTCCGCACACAGTATTCCTGGGATCCCAGCTCATTGGGCAGCAAAGGCGAGATTGCAGAAGAAAATGTTTCCCTAATGAAAACAAGGATTCCAGACACCCAGGAGTGACAAGAACGGACACAGCGCCTGTCACTTTCCTCCTGTCTCTGATGCTGGGGACAGTTCTGAGGGTGCTGTCTCCCTGGCGGGTCCCCATAGGTGGGCGGGCAGGCATCACCATCCCTGGGACACTCTGTGACTGTGGAAGGGAGCTGCCCTCAGGAGCCCTGGCAGCTCACAGTCCAGTTGTTGAGGGAGGAGAGGAGACATGTCACCTGTCCCTGTTTCTCTAGGAGGGGCCCATGTGGTGACAGGGTTAGGGGTTAGCCTGGCTGCCCTCCCACCCCTCCACCCAGGTATCAAGGAGGAGGAATTGACCCAGTTAGCTATGCTTGTTATGGCTGTATTGCAAGGGGAAAACTGAACCTCCAGCAGGCGTGAAGAAATTGGGTCACATAAAATGTTTAATCTCACCTTAACTGAAAAGTCCAAGTAAAGGGGCCTTCAGGTACAGCTGGTTCCAGGGCCTCGAAGGATGCCTGTCCAGTCCCTCAGACCTTCCCTCCTCTCCTCCCCTCCTCTTGGGCTGGCTGGCATTGTGACTAACTCGTGGGGCTGCAGCTGCCATGGGTACATCAGCCCAGCCTCTGCCGATGTGGGGCCTGGGCCCCTGTGCTTGGTGCTGATAGCCCAAGATGGGGAGGCAGGAGGCGACAGGGCAGGTGGGGCATGTGGGGCAAGGCAGTCACTTACAGGAGGCAGAGAGAGGTTCTCAGCTATTTAAAGTTTGTGTTTGTTTTTGTTTTTTTAATGAAATCCTTTTTTGTACTTTAGTTGTATCCCCAGAAGTTTCTGTGGGGCAGTTTCAGTCTCATCGTGGTTGTGATGTCAGGGAAGCACCTTCCTGGTGCCACCACAGGGCTGCCCCGAGATTCCTCTCTTGACTCTTGTTCTCCCCCTGCAGTCTTACTGTTAACAGTCCCAGGCATGGAGGAGACCACATCGGAGACAGACAAGACCCTTTCCAAGCAGGCGTGGGATACCAAGAAGGTAAGGGCCCGGGGCTTTCGAAAACAGCTTTCCTTCCTGTTGCTTTTAAGCACAGCCCTGGTGAAGATGGCGAGGCAGCACGTGGGGGCCTGTGCCTTCCCTGGAGTGTGATCCTCACTTGGAGTCGGCCAGGCGTGTAGGCAAGCCTGTCACGTTGGCGGAAACCAGAGAACTCCAGCCTGTGCTCGCCTCGGCAGCACAGACACTGCAGCTGGACCAGTATAAGGATCAGCACGGCCCTGCACAGGATGACACGCAAATTCACGACACATTCCATGTTCTTGTGTCTGGGGATGGGCGTTAAGTCGACCTACCGTGGTGATCATTTCACAGTGTATACAAGTATCAAATCATTATATTGTACACCTGAAACTAAGGTTATATGTCAATTATACCTCAATTTAAAAAAAAAGAAGTTGAAGCCAGGGAGGTTAGGTGATCTGCCCAAGGCTGTGTGGATGCTCGGGGTTTAGAACCTAGACCTCCTAATTCCTAGCCTGTGATCTCCCTACTAACCCACAGCATTGGGTAGTTATCAGTGTTTATAAATGTTTACAGTCGTCCTTAAACATAGACTTCCATTCATTTGCACAATAACCACAGCTTTTGTTAGAGAGCAAAGCCTACTCGAAGTCCCAATTGGATTGAGATTTCTGTATTATTTCCAGGTCTAGAAACAAATTTCTCAAGTTCAGTCTATAAAAACGTCTAGTGATCAGATAGAATTTGTGCCATGAATACAGATTTCAAAGAATTTGAGTAGAACAAGATACACTTAACACTAAAGGTATTTTGAATGTTAAAAAAAAAAAAAAAAACGAATTAAAACCCATTGCTGGTCATGTTGTGGTGAAAGAGACAACATATGAATTCCTCATCCCCCCGGGAAATCATAGCGAGATGATGAACACGCAAACAGCCATGTGTTCCTCAAAGGCATGTGTTCAGAAATCCACTGGAAACAACCTGAATGTTCAACAGGAGGGAATTTATAAGGAAATTATCCTCAGTCCCTCATGTGGAGAGCTCCACTCGTGTTGGGTTGGGATTTTTGGAGGCATTGTAAAGGTGTGAGAGATACTCGTGATGATACTCTTGTGTGGAGAGAGCAGGATAAGCTGTTAGAAGGGCATGAAGACAGCAGCACAGATGCCTACGGACAGACGCCTGGGTGTGTAGAACCAGGCCGAAGGCAGACACACGAGTGGGGTGCTTCCTCTTGTGCAGGTGTGGGCACTGCCATCGGCCCTTTATCCCTGCCTACCTGTTCCAGTTTTGCACAAGGAATGCATATGGTTTTTGTACTCAGAGAAAAAATACTCAGAGTTCTAAGGCTGAACAAAGTGAGAACACAACGGAAACATCTAGGTGCAGAGAGGTGGGTAAGTAAGGACATCAGGGTCCTTACAAGCAGAATGTGGTGCTGCCATAGAGAAGGCAAAGATGGTGAGTGTCGTGACAGGGAGGAGAACCCCCCACATTCCTGGGAGCGGGGAGAGGGCGGCAGAGCCCGGCATCATGGGGAAGCTCCTTTCACCTGCCGGGAACCAGGTGTCGGTGGGGATGTCAGTACAGGAGTTCTGTTGGATTCATTGGGGGTGGGGTGGGCGCAGTGGGTGAATTTTTAATACTGTTTAGAAATCCATTAGTTTCTCCATAACGTTCATGGAATGCTTTTTTTTTTTTTTTTTTTGGGGAAGATTAGCCCTGAGCTAACATCTGTTGCCAATCCTCCTCTTTTTGCTGAGGAAGATTGGCCCTGGGCTAACATCCGTGCCCATCTTCCTCTACTTTATACGTGGGATGCCACCACAGCATGGCTTGATGAGCACTGTGTAGGTCCACACCCGAGATCTGAACCTCTGAACCCCGTGCTGCCAAAGTGGAGCATGCGAACTTAACTGCTCTCCCACCAGGCCGGCCCCTGAAATGCTTTTGAAAAGATTCTTTAGAAAGTCATTGTCAGGGGCCGGCCCGGTGGCGCAAGCGGTTAAGTGCGTGGGCTCTACTGCAGCGGCCTGGGGTTCGCTGGTTCGGATCCTGGGCGTGCACCGGCGCACCGCTTGGCAAGCCATACTGTGGCTGTGTCCCATATAAAGTGGAGGAAGATGGGCACGGATGTTAGCCCAGGGCCAGTCTTCTTCAGGAAAAAAAACAAAGAGGAGGATTGGCAGGTGTTAGCATAGGGCTGATCATCCTCACAAAAGAAAAAAAAAAGGAAAGTCATTGTCAGAGTTCTTTGCAAAAATCCAATAATGAAGCGAGTGTTTACTCTCAGAATTAAGGAGCCCGTCGCCAAGTAGAAACCCGTCCTGCTGGTGTTCCCTGCAGAGGCTTAACGCCTGCTGGTCGCATGCCACCCCTCGGACTCCCCAGTCCCTGCCAGCCCAGTGTCCCTCCTCACTGGGTGTGCGGCAAGGCCACCTTCTTGTCTGATAATCCCTAAAGAGCACACGGACCCAAGGGCCCAGGAGGCAGACGGGGACTTAGGGAAGGTAACACAGCGGAGCCCCCATCAGCGGGGCTCTGTTCCGTCATGTCTGCCACCATTGGAAGAGAGTTCCCTCTGTCCTTGACTGAGAGACCAGGGCCTGCGTGAAGCCTGCAGTTCTTGGGTGGTGATAGTGTCTTCTACGCGCAAAGGAGCAAGTCGGGGTTTCACTGCCAACGGAGTTTTGCTGGGACCCCCTCCCTGGGGCCAGCCCACAGGGCAGCCAGGGTCTCTGTCCTCTGGGAGCGGGGGTGTGGGAGCGCGCACAGTGCTGGGGCACCGCTGGCAGGCAGTGCCCTCTGTGTGTTTAGGGCATCTGGTCCAAGCCTTTTCTGGCTACTACACATGATGTCCTTCTCCACCGAGGACAAACAGACGCTGAGCAGAGGAGCCTCTGCCCCAGGGGCCCTGCCCACCCTGATCCAGGAATGGAATGAGGGGTCAGCCTCAGGGCACCCAGGTTTCCAGTGGCCTCACTGCAGAGTTGGGGGTGTAAAGAGTGGGCAAGCCACCTTCTTCCCCGAAGGCCAGCTCTGACAAGGGGCCGCATCGCCTCTCGGCTGTGCCCTCCTTACTTACCAGATATAGGGAGACCCTCTTCTCAGCTCTTGGTTTTGCCTCTGGGCGTGTCTGCGGCAGGCTGCCCTCCCTCTGGGCGATTGTTATGTCTGTGGGACTCATGCTTCTTGTTGGGTGGCTCTTGGCCCTCGGGGGATCAGCCATGCTGCGCGGAGCTGCAACGTGCATGAAGAGGCCAGCTCAGCCTCTGCTCTCTTCTCTTTCAGACGGGGGCCAGGCCCAAGTCCTGCGAGGTCCCCGGAATCAAGTAAGTCTCTGCAGGGCCTGCCCTGCATGCCCAAGGCTGATCGGGGGGCTGCTTGGACGACCCCAGAGCTTCTCATCAGCTCACAAGGCTGCAAGTCCCGACAAGAGGGGCCTGCTGTTGGCGGCCACCCAGCCAGCCCTGTGGTGGGGGACACTCCCACCTTCCCTACTCGAGATGAGAGCCCCCAGCCTCAGCCCTGGCACAGCCAGCCCTCAGACACACCCGTGCAGTGAGAGGACCCTCACGACCCCTGCCCCCCAACCCTGTCCTGCAGGTATGGGATGCTTCCTAAAGCCCCATTGGAGATGTGGGCTGACAGCCATTTTTCAAGCAGGGCAGCACCTAATCACGGGGTGTCATTTTGCACCTCCTGATTTTTTTTGCGCCAGCCCCCTCCTGCCCCTGCTGCCGCTTCTGGGGGAGAACAAGCCGGCCACTGTCCTGAGAGCTCACCTCCCCCTCTGTTTGGCCTTTCCCCAGCATCTTTCCATCCGCCGACCAGGAAAACACTACAGCCCTGATCCCTGCCACCCACAACACGGGGGGCTCCCTGCCCGACCTGACCAACATCCACTTCCCCTCCCCGCTTCCGACCCCGTTGGACCCTGAGGAGCCCACCTTCCCCACACTCAGCAGCTCCAGCAGCACTGGCAACCTTGCAGCCAACCTGACACACCTGGGCGTCGGCGGCGCCGGCCAGGGTAAGGCAGCCAGGTGATTGGGCCCTTCCTTCCCTGGCAGAGCTCATCATCTAGTGAGCACGACACGTATGTTTGAACGATGACGTAGGATGACATCCAAAATGCCGGGCATGGGGTGGGGGACAGAACACACCACAGGGGCTTGGCATTTCCCCACATTGCCCAGGGAAGGCATCTCGGGCAGAGGGCACAGCCTGGGCAAAGGTGCACGGCGGGGAGAGCTCATGGTGCCCCCAGGGATCAGACACTGCTTCTGAGGGGCTGCTGGGGGCTTCAGAGAGGCTGAATAAACCCAGAACATTCTAGGAGGGGAGCCTCCAAGAGTTTGACCCAGTTAGGTGGGCCAGGCTTTCCCCCTGTCCCTCATCATCCCCAGCCCCTTTCTAAGGGACAGGACCTGACCTGCTCCCCCCACATCCCTTCCCACCCCCCAGCTCGCTGTGGCTGCCTGCTTGGGACACTGTAGCCTGGCCCCCTCCCCAAGCTCCACGTTCATTTCTCCCTGGGCCGTGTCCGGGGGTCGTCCCACGGGCCCCTTGCCTGTCCCAGTATCTCCCAGCACTGCCCCAACACTGCTGCTCCTGGGGACCAGCGGTGCCATTCCCAGATGGCTCAGGCCAGGGACCGTGCAGGTCAACTCCTCTGTCCTGCTGCCTACCCTGACCTCTTGGCTCGTCCTGTCGACCCCACTGTCAGGACCCGGCCCAACTTGGACCCTCCCTACCCTGCACGGCCTCCACTTGCCTGGCCCCTGCGGCCCCCTGAGCCCCTGGCCCCCAGTCTCTTCTCCACCCAGAATGGCCGTCAACTCATGGCTCTCCTCGGGTTTGGACCTTGCACTGACCCTCAATTGCCTCCCAGTGAAAACCTGAGACCCCCAGGGCCTGGGAGGTCTGCTACAGTCTGCCCTCTGATCTCGTTCCCTACCCGCCGCAGTCTCCTCTCTAGCCCCAGAGCTCACCTCAGGGCCTTTGCACGTGCTGCCCTCCCCCCAAGGTCCTCCCCTTCCTCCAGAGGGCTGCAGGGCCCCTCGCCTGCCCCATCCCCACTCACACCTCCTCCCCTCTGCAAGGCTGTCCTGATGGCCTGCCTGTGCCCACAGCCCCTCACACTGCGTTCTTGTTCTGCCCTCACGCTCCTGTTCTTGTGCCCACAGCCACTCACACTGCGTTCTCCTGCCCTCACCCTGCTGCCCCTGTGC